TGGGTGTGGGGGTGGTGTTGGGTGATAGAGGTGGGGAAACAGGGAACATCAGTGGTGGGAAATGTACACTGGTGAAGGGATGGGTGCTGGATCATTGTATGACTGAAACCCAATTATGAACAGCTTTGCAATGGTCTATCTCATGGATATTCACGGTCACGGTCAAGGTTCATCGATTGCTCAAGCGGGCCCAGTAACGTCTCCATCGTGAGACTTCTTATTACTGTGTTTGGCATACCGAATATGTCACGGGGAGCTTGCCAGGCTTTGTCGTGCGGGCGAGATACTCTCAGTAGCTTGCCGGGCTCTCCGAGAGGGGCAGAGGAATCGAACTCTGGTAGGCCATGTTGGCCGCTTGTAAGGCAAACGACCTACTGTTGTGCTATCTCTCCAGCCCATGGATATTCAATTTAAAAAAATTTTTTAAAAAGCAATGTGGACGGGTTGGAGCAATAGCACAGCAGGTAGGGCATTTGCCTTGCACTCGGCCAACCCGGGTTCGATTCCCAGCATCCCATATGGTCCCCTGAGTACCGCCAGGGGTAATTCCTGAGCGCAGAGCCAGGACTAACCCCTGTGCATTGCCGGGTGTGACCCAAAAAGCAATAAATAAATAAATAAAAAGCAATGTGGAGGGGCTGGAACGATAGCACTGCAGGTAGGGTGTTTGCCTTGCATGCACCTGACCCGGGTTCAATTCCCAGAATGCCATATGGTCGGTCCCCTGAGCACCACCAGGAGTAATCCAGGAGTAATTCCTGAGTACATGAACCAGGAGTAACCCCTAAACATCACTGGGTGTGACCCAAAAAGCAAAAAAAAAAAAAGCAATGTGGAGTTCATGACCACTTCAATCAGCTTAACAATAGCTGAATAAATAGCAACACTCCTATATTAAAAAAAATAAGAACAAAAGAGTGGGGTACATGCTTTGCATACAGAAGTCGCAGGCCTGATCCCCAGTATCATATGTATGATCCTCCAAGCACCCAGTTGGGAGTAACCCCCAAGCACCACCAGGTATATTCCCAATATAAAAAGTAAAATTAAAATTTGGCCAGAGAGGACTGAAGAGAGAGTAGAGTAGGGAGGGTACTTGCCTTGCATGCAGCCAACCCAGGTTCAATCCCAGCATCCCCTATGGTCCCCCAAAGCACTGCCAGGAATAATTCCTGATTGCATAACAAGAAGAAACCCCTGAGCACAGCATAGCCCCCCTCACACCCCAAATATTTAGCCAGATATATTAACTCACACCTGTGAGACTGACACATAACACAAAGAACAAAATCAACCAGTGCTAGCATGGATGTGTGGAATAAAGGGCCCTCATTCCTGGCTCACGGAAATGTTGATTGATCCAGTCTTTTTGGAAGTCATCATCACATTCCTCAAAAACCTAAGAACAGAGCTTCCAGCAATTAAAATTCCAGCAAATCCACTTCTTGGAATCTACCCCAAGGGCCCAGAAACTCTATTCAGAAAAGATATTTCCACATTCATTACAGCACTATTCACAGTAAACAACAACAAAAAATCCTGGGGTGGAGGGAAAGTACCGCGGTATAGTACCCCTGAGCATCACTAGGTGTGACCCCCCCAAAAAAAGCAAAAAAAAAAAAATCCCAAGTGTCCAAGAACAGATGACTAGATAAAAAAAAAACTATGGTATATATGCCCAATGGAATACTATTCAACTGTAAGAAAAGACAAAATTATATAATTTGCTGCTGCGTGGATTGCTCTGGAGAGTATCATGCTGAATGAAATTAGTCATGAGAAAAGGGACAGTCACAGAATGATCTTTCTCATAATGAGGGATATTTTTGTTTGTTTGTTTTGCGTTTTGGGGTCATACCCAGCAATGCTCAGGAGTTAATCCTGGCTCATGCACTCAGGAATTACTCTTTGAGGTGTTGGAGGACCATATGGGATGTTGGGAATTGAACCTGGGTCAGCAGCATGCAAGGCAAATGCCCTACCCGCTGTACTATCGCTCTGGCCACAAATGAAGGATATATAAAAAAAAAAGAAGTAGCAGGGAAACAACAAATACCCAAAGGCAACAGAAACAGAACTGGCTCTCTGTAGGATGCTCCCCATGGGCAAGAGGGAGGGACACTGGGGCAGTGGTGGAGGGAGGCCGACAGTCTCGAATGTTTTATGCACAGAACGCTGCCATTAGCAGTACTGTAAAGCACAGCACCTAATATAAAATTGTTAAAAAGAATAGAGGGCCCTGGGCTGGTGACACAGTACAGTTGGTAGGGCACTAGACTGGCCTGCAACCCAGGTTCAATCCCCGGCATCCCATATAGTCCCCTGAGCCCTGCCAGGAGTAACTCCTGAACACAGAGCCAGGAGTAACCCTTGAGCATTGCCCGGTATGACCCCAAAACAAACAACTGGGTCAGAGAGACAGAACAAAGGTTAAGGAACTTGCCTTGCATGTGGCTGTCCCACCAAATACAGTTCCTTGGGCACCACGAGGAGTGATTCCTGAGCACAGAGCCACGAGAGGCACCTGGGCACCACTGGGTGTGACTTATCCCCCCATCTCTCCACCCCGCACAAATATTACAGCAACCAGTGCCCTGTTGGAACTGGCACAAAGCGCTGAGCCTGTGCTGGGTCCGTGGAAGCCCCAGCTCCAACCCCTGACACAGCGTGGTCCCCTGAGCATTGCTGGGCGCACCCCCCAGGCTGCATGAGTCCCCCCAAAAAATAATAAAACAAAGTCACTCTGTATAGGTGAGATTCCTCTACATCCCAACTGAAAAATCCAAGTGAAAACTAAAACTTTTTGTGGAAAATAAGAAATGGAGGTTGATTCAGACATGTTGATTTGAATTGAGGGTGCCATTAGTCCCCCAAAGACTCAGATTTTCCTCAATAAGCTCTAAAGAGGCCTTTTCCAGGAAATGTCACCCTAGTGTGTGCTGTTAAAGGTCCATCACTGGCGATGGCCTGGGGGAATGGATCTCTGAGACACAGAAAGCAGCTGGTTTTCAGCTCAGCAGAAGGCCCTGGAGCCAGAGATACTGCTCTGAACCCTGCCTCAGGCCCTTTGCTCAGCCAGAGAAAGATTGCTGCTCCCCCCAAGCCTCTTTATGGCCTAGAAGAATGTAACTGGGCAGGTACTGGCCAGGGACAAGGTTATCAGCCAACACACACACAACAGAATGGCTTTACTGGGGGAGGCACCCTGTCAAAGAGCTTACTGGATAACACATATTGTGTAATTCTCACAAAAACCCGTGAGCTTGTGGCAACTGTTTCATCACATGTGAAAAAAAGGAAATTGCAGCACACAAAGGTTGTCAAGAAATAGTCAAGTACTTAGAACAGTAGAAAGTAAATGCTCAGCTCGTATTTGCCATGTACTGACACTTCTAATTTTACCAAGACACAGGGAAGTATCCTGCCTAAAGTACCAAACAGGGTTAGAGAGATAGTGGAGGGTTAAAGGATTTGTGTAGCTAGCAGCCAAGCCCAGTTTTGAATTCCCAGCACTGACTATTGTCCCTAGAGCACAGAGCCAGGAGTAAGCCCTAAGCACCACGATGTTGGCCCAAAACACCCCAACCACCTCCCCAAAATAACACAACTTAAAAGAGGACTGGAGAAATAGTACAGCGGTAGGGAGCTTCTCTTGCACATGGCTGGCCCAGGTTCGACCCCCAGCACCCCATATGGTCCCCAAGCACTATTAAGAGTGATTCCTGAGTGCACAGTCAGAAATAACCCACTGAGCACAGCCAAGTATGGTTCCCCCACACAGAAGGGAAGGGAAGGGGAGGGGAGGGGAGGGGAGGGGAGGGGAGGGGAGGAGAGGGAAAGAAGGAGGGAAGGGGAAGGGAGGAAGGGAAGAAGAAAAGAGGCCATGAATCCTGCCATCTGACTTCTAGGTATTTAAAGTGCCTTGCTCCACCTCCCAAATCCAAGCAACCCAGAGGGGCTGGGAGTTGCAGTGGTTAGGGTGCATGCTGCCAACTTGGTCTGCTCCCTGGCACCAAATGATCCCAATAGCATCAAGGGGTACAGCTCAGGAAGGTCTTTGGCATGTCTGATGTGCCCCAAGTGATACCATCCTTGAACCCTGGCACTGAACCAACACCAACCTAGGGACTTGGAGCCTGTCTATTAGAGGAGATCCTAATGAAGTGGGGTGGAGGGGTAAATCGGGACACACGTACGATGAAAGAAATGAATATACCCATGGGAAATTTTTTGTGTTTGGGAGCCACGAAAAATTCCAATCCTCTCTCTGGCCACACTCACTTTGGGTATTCTAACTATTTTGAATTTCTTCCCCTTCCCTTTTCTTCAGTCATTTATGCAAGCGCTGAAGGTCACACGCACTTTGTTGCAGAATCGTTTTCTGACTCCTACAGACTCCCACCCATCAACACTTCAAAACCCGGGGCTGGAGGTATAGTACAGCGGGTAGTGCCTTGCACACGGCCAACGAGGGTTCGATCCCCAATATCTCATAGGGCCCCCGAGCACCGCCAGGAGTAATTTCTGAGTGCATGAACCAGGAGTAACCCCTGTGCGTGGGGTGGAGGGGTGACCCCCCCCCCAAAAAAAAAGGCTTCAAGGCCCCTGGCCGAGGGATCCGAGCGATAGCACAGCGGGGAGGGCGTTTGCCTTGCACTCAGCCAACCCCGGTTCGATCCCCAGCATCCCATAGGGTCCCTCAAGTACCGCCAGGAGTCATTCCCGGGTGCAGAGCCAGGAGTAACCACTGTGCATCGCCAGGCGTGACCAAAAAAGAAAAAAAAAAAGACCCCTGGCCGTGCGCTCTGGCCGGACCCTCAAGGCGCCACAAGTGCCTCGGCGCCATCTTGGCTGTCCCTCGTCTTCCGGAAGGCGCAGGCGCGCGCCACACTTCCGGGAATACCACCACGACCATTCCCCCCCGCCCCGCCACACTTCCGGAAAAACTACATCTACCACAATCCCGTTCGGCCTGTCACCTTCCGCTGCGGTTGGGGGCATGAGGGCGGGGCCTAGTTCCCGGGAGACGGGACGGAGCGCCCCTAAGGGCGTGTGTGGTGTACGTGTGTGGTGTTGTCTGTGGTAGAGTTCGCTCTAAGGGAGATATTTAGATCCCCCTAGGGGAGATAAGACAAACAGCCCCGAAGATTATATAAGATTCTGCGCTCCGCAGTAAATACCGGCAGATGATCTAGTCCGGCCGAGTCACCTGGGGAGTGAAGGGCAAACGGCATGCGCATGCGCGCAGGCGCCGCCGGGGGGCGGGAGCCCGCCGAGCCCCTTCCCCAAAGCGGTGAAGGTGAGTAGGGGGCGCGGGGCGGGGCTTGAGTCAATGTGATTCCCTCCTCCCCGGTAACTGCTAAGCACCACCGAGACTGCCGAGTCTACCAGTTCCAAATGACATTGGCCCATATGCTCCAGTTAATCAGGATCCCCGGAAACTCAGTTTTAGCATTGAATACCTCTAACTTGCACTGCCAGTGAAGCTACTTTCAGCATTTCATTGTCATCGACTATGTTCAAGTCTTTTTTGCCAACCATGCATTTGAAGAGCAACAGCTTTACCTGGAAGGGGTCACCTTTTTATCTTGGCGCGCCCCACCCCCACCCCTAGCATGTAGCAAATAGCATCTTGCATCTTGCTGTAGATCTTAAGTGTTACCAACAGTTCGCTTCTCTGTTCAGTTAAGTGCCCGGCTAGGTGCATACTTTTGTCATGTTGTCTTGTTTTATGTATGAAAATATTCTCATGAGAAGGCTTGTCCTTGGAACAATGACAAAGAACTCAAATAATCACGATCACGATCACGACCACCCTGTTGTTCGTCGATTGCCTCGAGCAGGTGCCAGTAACGTCTTCGTCCTAGCCCTGAGATTTTTTTTTTTAAGTGCCATATTCAAGGCTTTTTCAGGGTTAGGAGAATGATTAACTCAAATAATACACTATCAAAAAAAAAATAGTGATGCTGATGATGTTTAAAATCTGCTGGGGATACAGCCAGTTAACTAAGCATCTTCCTGCCTTAACCATAACTGATTTGGCTTACCCCTTGCTGTGTGAGTTGGTTATGTGGTTTGGCGTTCTGGGCCTACATTTTCACATGAAATAGAAAGATTGGATTAGAGGATATCTAAGAATTTGCCAGACCTGAAAGTCTGTGGTTAGTCTGTGGTAGAATCCAGATTGTATCATAATGTGTTAATACTAAACAAAATCAATTTGCATTTCTCTGCTAATAAAAGTGAAAAGTATTTTTAGGAATTTTGGCAGGAGCATTAGAACAGCCCTTTATTTCACTTGTAATAACGGCTTCCTGACTGAAAATAGGAAGTTAGTTAATATTCCAACTTTGTTCTCCTATATTGTCATTTTGTAGATCGTTGCTAGGAAGAACTCTGGGTACCTGTATGAACATAATGCATGTGATGATGGCTCCGATATTGAGATCACATCTGATAAATATTTCAATGATTCCAAGTCGAATGAAAATGCTCCCGCATCTTGATCTCATTAGAAATAGAATGATGTCAACCTTTATATCTAAAAAGAAGATCAAAGAATATTATAGGCTGCTGAATTTGCAGGAAGGTTGTTCCGCAGATGATGTCAGGGAATCTTTCCATAAGCTGGCCAAGCAGTACCATCCAGACGGGGGTTCTGATACAGCTGATGCTGCCACATTTATAAAGGTAGAAGAAGCTTATCGGAAGGTGCTTTCCCATGTGACAGAACAAACTAAGACCAGAAAGAGTAAAGTTGCAGAAGCAGAAGAGGAGGAGGAAAAGTTCGGATATAAAACACCCCAACACCGGCACTACTTAAGTTTTGAAGGTGTTGGTTTGGGAACCCCAAGCCAACGAGAGAAGCAATATAGGCAATTTAGAGCAGATCGTGCAACTGAGCAAGTGATGGAGTACCAAAGGCAGAAACTAGAGAAGCAGTATTTTGCCCATAGTTTAACTGTGAAAGATGTAAGACAGAGTAAACAACAAAAAATCACTCAAGCGATCGAGCGTTTAGTGGAGGATCTCATTCAAGAATCAATGGCAAAAGGAGACTTTGATAATCTTAGTGGGAAAGGAAAACCTCTTAAAAAATTCTCTGGCTGTTCGTATGTTGATCCCATGACTCACAACCTCAACAGAATATTGATAGACAATGGATACCAACCAGAATGGATCTTAATGCAAAAGGAAATAAAGGATACTATTGATCAACTCCGAAAGGCAATCTTAGTGTCAAGGAAAAAATTTGGGAATCCAATGACCCCCACTGAACAGAAACGGTGGGACCAAGTTTGTGAGGAGTTTCAAGAAGACATCAAAAAGCTTAATAAGAGAATTAATGATTTTAATTTAATTGTTCCCCTCCTGACGAGGCAGAAAGTCCACTTTAATGCACAGAAAGAAATTGCCAGAGCCGAGGAAACATATGCAGCCCTTATGAAAACACAGGAAGTCACAGAAAAAAAGGCAGTTGACTCTGACCAGGAAGAAGGGGAGAAAACGCCTGTGGTCAAGACAAGTTTCTTTAACTGGATGAATGTATGGAAATTCATTAAAACATGACTTTTTCAATATTGACAACCACAATAATGACCCACATCATTTGCAGCCTGACTGACATTATCCGTGGAGGTTTATTGCTGTAATACAAGCATCTGAGAACTGTGTCTCTGTCCATTTCCAAAACAAATCACATCCTCATGAGTTGTGAAGAAAAAAAAATGGACCATAAGAAACAGCTGCACCAGCCAAAGCCAGCTTTGCTTCAAGGCTATAACAAGGAAAGAAAATTTCTAAGAAAATGTACTGGATCCATTTTTGAGTTTATTAGTCTTCAATGAAATCTGACAGGGATCCAAGAGCTTTCAGAAGTCTCACTGCAATTCTCAGCTCTGATAACGTGCAAAGAGTTGTTTGCTATTTTCAAACACAGTCTTGAACATCAGCACCAGCGACAAAGCTAACAGTGTGTTATGAAGAGACACAAAATTAAAGAGGTATGAAGTATAGGCAAATAAACCTCCAAATGATGATGCTTGCTTCTTACAAATCTGCTAACAGTGTTTATACCTGAAATTATTTTGAGTTCAAGAATGTTCAGGGGGAGGTGGTGGCCAGAGCTGTAGTACAAAAGGTAGAGTGCTTGCCTTGCAGGTGGCCGACACAGGTTCAATATCTGGCACCACCAGCATCACCAGGAGTGATCCCTGAACACAAAACCAGTAGTAAGCCCTGAGCATAGGTGAGTGCAGCCCAAACTGAAACATCAAAACCAAGAAAGTTCTTTTTTTAAGCTTGTTTTGTGAATGGAAGTATTAAGAGCTGTAACTTAATGTTTTGTTTTTTTTTTGGGGGGGGGGGGTCCTCACTCGTGATGCTTGGGTTACTCCTGGCTCTGAACTCAGGAATTACTCCTGGCGGTGCTTGGGGAACCAAATAGGATGCTGGGGATCGAACCCAGGTCTGCCGTGTGCAAGGCAAATGTACTCCCTGCAGTACTATTGCTGTAGCCCATTGCTTCACTCTTAAAAGTAAAGACCTCCATGGGCTGCAGAAATCAATCAACAAAGCTATTCCAGAAATAGATACCAACATTCATTTTTAAGGTGTTCCAGTTAATTTTCTAATCTTTGGAAAGTAGGGGGGAAAAGTCTTTGAGCTCAGTGGAAATTAAAAGGTTCAGCTCTGGGTACATCTCTAATGAGAGAGTGAACTGCTTAATTACTTCTATCTGAAGTGTGTGTGTGTGTGTGTGTGTGTGTGTGTGTGTGTGTGTGACTAGACTCCTGAGAGGCATTTTCAGCACTATGGAATCTCATTTTACTGCCCTTGGGATCTAATGTCCTGTCTTAGGTAACACTCTAGAAAACAGAGAAAGTCTGAATTTTGTGCCAGATTATACCTTTTGGAAATGATGAGATCAACATTCATGAGATTGGCAGGTTCCCATGCACTGTCAGAAAATTTGACTTTTGGGTTTGTGTAACAGACAACACTGCATGAGAGATGGGTGCAGAAGTGTGGACGTGCCACTCTGGTCTTGCAAGAACCAGTTGCTTTGTGGGTAACTGGTCCTTCTGCTTAGATGGAGTCAGCACAGTTGGAATAAGTACATGGTTATTTAATTGAATGAGTTGTCATTTGACTTCCACAATGGTAGAAGTACTTGTCACAAATTGTGAACTTTTTAAAATATAGTTATGATAAACTATAGCCTGAAAACATTTTAGAAGGCCTTGATTCTGTGAATCTTCTTTTTAAAAAATGAGAATTAGATGTATATCTAATTGTGTTGCAGCAACATGATGAAGAAAATAATTTTGAATAGTGGAAAATAGGAAGATGAGACAACCTGAAAACCCTGGTAAATTATTGATTTCAGCACTGCACACTTTATGTTTGTAAATACATAAAGAAAGTTAATAAAGTTAATTTTTAAATGATTAAATTTCAATGATTATTCTATAGTCTGTGGTTGTGTAAACAATTAGTAGTGACATTACTAAATACTTTTATTTATTTATTTTTTGCTTTTTTGGGGGGGGGGTTACACCCAGAGATGCACAGGGGTTACTCCTGGCTCTGCACTCAGGAGTTACCCCTGGTGGTGCTCAGGGGACCATATGGGATGCTGGGAATCAAACCCGGGTCAGCCGCATGCAAGGCAAATGCCCTACCCGCTGTGCCATCTCTCCAGCCCCAATACTAAACACTTTTAGCTGGCTGCAAGGGAAAATTCACTTATGTCAAACAATTCCCTTAGTGGGCTAGAGAGATAAATACAAGGGTAAAGGCACTTGCCTTACATTCTCGTTCCTATTTCAATCCCTGGCGCTGCTTGGTTCCTCAGGCACCACTGAGCAACTTCTGATGGCAGAACCAGGAGGATGTGGCAATCAACTTTCTCTTCCCTCCCGTTTCACTTACTAGAAGTGTCCAATGGACTATGGTCAAGAGATCATTGACATTTTGGTGGTGGGCTTTGGATAGTAATGTGGTACCCCTAAAGGATATAAACGTGTACACTCTAAAACCAGTGTTACCTCAATTTATTTCTCAATCGTTATTTTTTGGTTTATTTTGGGAACACACCCAGCAATCCTTAAGGGTTACTCCTGGTCGGTCCTGCACTCAGGAATTACTCCTGATGGAGACCATATGGGATATTAGGGATTGAACACAGCTTAGCCATGCCCTACTCGCTATGCTATCTCTCTAGGTCTTGTTACCTCAATTAAAATTTAAAAAGTTCACTTAAGTAAAAAAAATTTTAGGCTGCCAAAGATTTTGGCCAGTTGGTCAGGATTTATTGAGTTGGAATTTTACACAGATTTTTTACGATGTAGCATTGACCTTTTTCCTGCTCATTCCACCGCACTTTGGCATGTTTTCGGGCATAGTGGTAACCCTCTGAGATTTCAGCTTTCACCCAGGGCATACACTATACTCTCCCTGGGGCGATGCCTTTCCATGGCTCCTCCTGTGATCTACCTTAGCGTCACCCCCTGCCCTAGAGATGCCTCTTCTGTCCTGCCAACACCAATTTCAAAAGTCCAGCTGCTTCTTGCAAGAATCCTCACCTTCCCTAGGTGGTTGGCGTACCCTAACCCTCAAAACCACCCTCCTTGAAGAGCTGAACATCTGAATACCCCCCAACTCAGCAAATACTGGTAGGAGAAGTAGAATTGCAGGGACTTTGAGAACCAGCAACCACTGATCCAGTGGCGACCCTGCTTTGACACAGATAGATCATTTTATTTAAGGGGCATACCTCACCTTGTGGGCTGGAGTGATAGCACAGCCATAGGGCGTTTGCCTTGCACGTGGCTGACCCGGGTGACCTGGGTTTGATTCCTCTGCCCCCTCGGAGAGCCTGGCAAGCTACCGAGAGTATTTCGTCCGCACGGCAAAGCCTGGCAAGCTACCCGTGACATACTCAATATGCCAAACACAGTAACAACAAATTTCACAATGGAGACATTACTGGACTTTATTCAGCAAATCGATGAACAATGGGATGACAGTGACAGTGACCTCACCTTGTAGTGCCCAGGGCTTACTCCCAGCTCTGTGCTCAAGGATCACTCCTGGCACTTCTTGTTTTTTTGTTTGTCTTTTTTTTTTTGGCAGGGGCCACACCCAGAGATGTTCAGGGCTTACTCCTGGGCTCTGTACTCAGAAATTACTCCTGGTGGTACCTGGTGGACCATACGGGGTTGAACCCGGGTCTGACACCCCACATGCAAGGCATGCTCCCCACCCGCTGTACTATTTCTTTTGGCTCTGCCATGGAGAACCATATATGGTGCCAGGGATCTTACTGGGGTCTGTCACATGCAAAGCATGTGCCTTATCCCTGTACTTGTTCTAGGTCACTATAGTCAGATTTTCATTCCCTCTGCTTCCCTTCTGTGCCTGAACCTGCTTCTGGGAGATTGTCTTCTCAACTTTCCAGTTCAGCCCCAGTTGACACCAGATTTACCCAGATGAATCCCCAGATTCTCAGGAACTGAGTTTTAATGATGCAGTGTTGTTCTTCCAGCTGCCTGTTATCTTTCAGATGGCACCAGAGGGTGGTGGTAGGTGTCATTTACCCAGGGAAAAGGTGGTTTCTCCCATAGGAAGTCAGTCTGTTGAACCTGGTCTTGGCAGAAGATGCCCGCCTTTCTCCAAATGGCTCAGAAATGGGTGTGCGCCCCAGGCCCTGTCCACAGGCCTCATCTGTAGGAGCTGTGGGTGTAGAATGAACTGTGGGAGAAAATAAATATGTTGGCTCTCTGTAGTGGTTTTCCCTGGCTGGTGCAGGAGGACAGTGGCTATTGGGTAGTGCTTCTGGCACAGAAAAGGCATCAGTGCCTGCTGATGGCAGAGCAGGCAAGTCCCGGGTGGGAAGGGCAAGGTGCTGGGACTGGGCTCTGGGGTTTGCTCACCTGGTTTCAGGCATTGTTTCCAGAATTCTCCAGCTCTCCCCCAAGATCCAGTGTCCATTCATAAATTTCTCTCTATTTAATCCACCTAGATTAGGCGTTGCCATTTGTACCGAAAAACTGGGACCCATATGGATGAAATCTGGGCATCTCAGGACTTGGGGTAACCAGGAAACGTGTGCTAAACTGTAGCATCCAGGTTCTCTGCTCAAGCTCTCAACTCTGCTATTTGATGTTAGCGTGAGATTTGGGGCACACTACCAACATCTCGCCAATGCAAGCCATTCAGATGTAAGTAGGAATAATGGTTGTTAGTTATCATAGGGAGTCATTGAGATGTTAGATGGAAGGGATCTGACACAATTAAGGATGCTTAATGGCACTAAAGTATTCTAAGCATTAAGTCATGCTTGTATAATAATATTAGAAGTTTCTATTTAAGATTTGTTGGGGGAAAACCTGGTCACCGAGAGAAGTCTAGGGGGAAATCTTGATTTCAAAGCTATTCGTCAGTTTCAGTCAATTCCTTGCTTTTACTACAGTATTTTCTGTCACACTTTCAGCTGGTAGAGGCTTAAACAAAAACTGCAGAATAAACCTGACTAGATAGACTTACATTGTATGATTCTATTTGTATCAAAAGCCTCAATTAGGCACATCTATAGAGAAGAATAGCAGCTTTGTGTTTGTGTAGGACTTGAGTTTGGGAGCAAATGAGCAGCAGCTAATAGTTGTGGATTTTTCTATGGATTTTTTTGGGGAAGAGACACCCTGTAGTGCTCAGGGTTTGCTCCTGACTCTGTACTCAGGGATCACTCCTCTCCTGGCTGTGCTCAGGGAACCCTATAGGGTTCTGGAGATTGAACTGGAGGTTGGCCCCATGTAAGCAAGCATCTTACTCCTGGTAATATCTTTCTGGCCTCTTTCTATGTTTTTTTTTTTTTTGTGGAGGCAACCCTGCTGATGCTCAGGGGTTACTCCAGACTCTGCACTCAGGAATCACTCCTAGCCGTGCTTGGAGAACCATATGAAATGCTGAGGACTTGGGCTTAGGTTAGCTGTGTGTGGGGCAAGTGCCCTCTGCCCTCTGTACTCTGCCCAGGCCCCCTTTCTATGGCCCTATAACATAGAAATGTTGAAATCGGGCTTGGGAGTGGCAGTAGTTCAAAGGGCTGGAGTGCGTGCGTGTTTGGTATGCAGAGAGCCCCAGTTTTGGTCCCCGGCATCACATGACCTCCTAAGCACCACTTTGGGGTTCTGGCCTCTCCCCAAAAGCTAGATCAAAGAAAACAAGCAAAATATCCCCCAAAATAAGCAGGAAACTAAAATTGGGGCTAAGGATGTGGTTCTGGAGCAGAGTTCATGGTTCCCATGCATTAGGCACCGGGTTTGGTCCCCAGCACCTCTCAAATGCTGTCGTAAAATTGATTGTGATAATGGTTGCATAATTCTGTGACCATATGACAACCATTAAATGAATAAAAACTGATGAGTGATGTTTTAATGTATGTGAAAGTAATTTTTTTTGGGGGGGGCAGGTCATGCCTGGTGATGCTCAGGAGTTACTCCTGGCTCTGGACTCAGGAATTACTCCTGGCAGTCCTGGGGGATCATATGGGATGTCAGGGATCGAACCCGGGTCAGTCACATGCAAGACAAACACCCTATCTGCTGTACTATCACTCGGGCCCAAGTAATTTATTTATGTATTTGTTTATTTTTTGTTTGTTGGGTCACACCTGGCGATGCACAGGGGTTACTCCTGGTTCTGCACTCATGAATTTCTCCTGATGGTTCTCAGGGGACCATATGGGATGCTGGGAATCGAAACCAGGTCGGCCACATGCAAGGCAAACGCCCTACCCACTGTGTTATCCCTCCAGCCCCCCAAGTAATTTATTTTTAATTAAAAAGAAAAATAGTGACCGGGGGTCAGAGCAATAGTATAGTGGGTGGGCACTTGCTTTGCAGGTGGCTGACCTGGCTTCCATCCCTGGCATCCCTTATGGTTCCTCAAGCACAGAGGCCGTGGTAGGGGGTTGATTGGATAGGGTCGGCAATGCCCTGCATGGTGCTTACAAGACCAGGCAGTGCTAGGAATCGAAACCAGGGCTGCCTCATGCCACGTGATCAAGCCCTTTGTGCATCTCCCAGGCCCTCAACTCTGTTCTTGCCCATACTCTGCACAAGGTGTGTAAAGCAGATTGCTGCCAGGGAACAGCCTCTGGAGTGAAGATCCGAGAGCACCAAACACCAAGATTCCTGGGCAGGAAGGACTCAAAGTGATTGTTTTTTGTTTGGTGTGTGTGTGTGTGTGTGTGTGTGTGTG